AAGGTCCAGGGTCTGGGGTGCAGGGCAAAGTTTGGGTGTGCAGAGCAGGACCCAGGGTCCGGGTTCTGGGCATGTGGGGTGGAGTCTGGGTGCAGGGCAGGGCAAGGGTCCAAGGGTGCAGGGCAGGGTCAGGGGTTCGGGCATGCAGAGTGGAGGCCATGCATCCAGGGAGGCATCCTCTACCCAGGTTCCCCCACCCCTGGTCGCTGGTCTGCTGGAGGCCATGGCACCATGTAAGGGCTTTCGGCCAGGATGCCCCTCCCTAGCGTGATGTCACTATGGTCATGGAACGGTTAACCCTGCGTCTTCCTGAAGTCATGGGCTTTTGCTGGCGGGATGGTCCTGGCAGCCCTGTCTTCCCAGGAAAGAACCAGGTGACTCGGGTGTCAGCAGCTCATGAGCCCAAACTAGGGCTCACCTCCTGCAAGTGCAATGAGACTCCCTGAGGGGTCAGAGGAGCTGTTGGGGGGTGGGGTGGCCTCAAGGCCCTGTCTCCAATTAGGGATCTGCTGTCTGCCACATGTCCCCTCAGGGTGAAAGAAAAGTCCACCCTGAAAGCCCACAGGGGCCAAGGTAGGGTGGGAGCCCCAGCTCCTCCTGAGGTTGTCCGAAGCTGGCCCCCTTCTTTAAACTGAGAAACTGGTTTCCTGAATCCAGTATTTATTTTTTCCTTGTTTCCTAGCAAGCAGTGGTCTTCATGGCTTTTGCTGTGCTAGGTTTATTGTATGTTTTGAGGAACCTTTGTGGCCACTTCAGCTGGTGAATGCCGCTGTACTGGGCCTTCCCTGCGATCCCTCACCTTCTTAGGCTGAGTGGAAGGGCCAGATAGGCAGGTGCTGCCATGGTCTCTGGCAGGGGGAGTGGGAAACCGACTGTCTCTTCCCCTGCTCTGCAAAAGTCAGGCATAAAAACACACCCACAGACCAGGCGCAGTGGCTCACAGCTGCAACCCCAGCACTTTGGGAGGCCGAGGCAGGGAGGATGACTTGAGCCCAGGAGTTGGAGACCAGACTGGGCAACATAGTGACATCTCAACTCTACAAAAATTCATAAGAGTTAGCATGGTGGTGCCTGCCTATAGTCCCAGGGACTTGGGAGGCTGAGTTGGGAGGGTCGCCTTCAGGACTCTTAGTATTCTTACTTTCTACTTAAGTGAAGTAGGATGCCTGTGTTTTTATCATGTTGGATGTGGGTGGGTGTTCTCACTGTAGAGCTCGTTGGGCCTGTTTGAAGTGGAGTTTGTAACAGGATGTGTGCCTTGGTGGTGGGTCTTCCTGACCTGAAGTAAGCAAGCAGAGAGGACAAAGTCCCACCAAGTGGGCAGCATGGGCTGCACAACCCTGTGGGCTCCACACCCCTGTGGGCTCCACACCCAGAGGTCGACACGGGGCAGCTAGACTGGCTTTTGTTTCCCAGACACCATCCATGTTGGTGGGCAGGTTCTCGCTGGTAATAGAGAATAGTAAGTGGAAATTTCTCTTTGTAGTTTAGTCTGTTATTGGTAATGATGAGTCAATCCAGAGGCGTTTGATTGCCTGAATTTTCCAATGAGTTTTGTTTAAGCTCTAAACTCAACTTTTAAAAATGGAAATATTTTTAGACTGTAGTTTATCATGGTGGAAGGTAAAGGGAGATGCCCGCAGGTCAGGTGAAGGGCCTATGTTTTTATTTTGTTTTGCTTTGTTACTTGGAGTCTCCTTGTCGCCCAAGCTGGAATGCTGTCACACACTCACGGCCAAGGCAACCTCGACCTGTTGGACTTATATGACTCTTCTGCCTCAGCCTCCCAAGTAGTTGGGACTACAGGTGTGCCACCACACCCAGCTAATTTTTTGAGACAAGGTCTTTCCATGTTGCCCAGGCTGATCTCGAACCTTGGGCTCATGCAGTCCTCTCACCTCCACCTCCCAGAGTGCTGGAATTACAGGTATGAGCAACTGTGCTCAGCTATGTGAAGAGCCTTTGAGGAAGTGACATTTAAGCTAGTGCAAGCTGCCTGAGATGCCAGGGAGGGGGGCAGAGCTAGGGGTGGTACAGGTGGAAGGATGGCAAGTGGAGGGGGCAGAGCCTTGAGTGTTACAAAAGTTCATTTTCCGACCATATACTAAGAACATTAAAAATAATTGTACTGATGACATACATTTAATTCATGTATGTCATCAGTACAATGAATGTTGACGTGTCAACCATATTAAGAATCATGCCATGTATCTGATATCAATAACTATTAATGAATGGCAACATTTTAAGGCACATAAATTCTGAGAACTTGTCCTTCACCCACACTTTGGACTCAACTGTTTGACCATGGTACAAAATTCAGTTTAGTCTCTATTTCTGTTTTCTTAATCATTTACGATCATCATCATTTGGTCGTAGTCCTATTATGCCCAATCCAGTACATATTATGCTTTTATTTGTCCTTTTTTGGAAAAAGCTTATTCTGGTTATTCTGGTTATGTACAACAAGAATAAGATGGCAAGTCTTCAGGTTTTATTTGCAAAGATAGGTTTATTGTTTATCTTTTCCTCATTATTTGTGATCATTTTTTGGCTTAATAGTACATTTAACCCTGATTGTAATTGGTATTTTAACATACATCTAAGAAGCAGAGATAAATACAAGTATTTGATATATGAGATAAGTTTATTTAACCATCATATGATATACATTTTTTTCAGCAGATATTTTTGTTAATGTAAAATGGAATAAATAGTAAGATATATGGTATACATGGTAAATTCTAGTTTTATTAAATTTAAATTGAAAAACATATACTTGGAACACAAAGATTGTCCTTCATATCACCCAATAGGCAATGTTGATTGATACAGTGAATATTTGCTATTAAATTTGGTTTTGTTTACACAAGTCATTTTGTTCAAATGATATTTTAATATGATACACTGCCATTACTTTATAATATGTGAGAAAATTGCATATTAAATATTCCTTAGAACATAGGGTAGAATTTAAGTTCTGAGTCCTTCTGACATATTATAATTAAGTGATGATGCTTTCTATGTTGATTTAGTTTGTCTAAGATTAGTTATCAGCAATCTCTTTACTACCTGTTTTTGCTTGCTCTGGAAATATTAGGTTGAGTCACATGAACTGACACACTAAATACAGCAATGTTTCAACCGATATATAGTAAACCTTTTACCATGACATTTAATTACTTGCCTAATGCTGTGTATCTTGTTACTCTTTTTACTTTTAATAAGAAAAGCTATTCTACCTTAGGTATGATGTATTTCTGCATATTGGAAATAAAGGAACATTGATTAGGCATAACTTGATGATTGCAGAATATTCTATTGCTGTTTATTTTAAAATTTGTCATAGACCTTTAAAATAATTATAAATTCTAACCATTTAAAGTACATATAAAAATTTAAAGAAATTATGTTATATCTAATTTTACAAATATAGACTTAGGTTCTAGACAGTTGGTGTATATTTTGTGGCAAATAGCTTTCACTGGTAGGCCTAAATATATAGAAACACTACATTTGGATTACTGGTGCACAGAAACTTTGTCTTATCCATATTTTTTGGTTGAATTTTTATACTTATCACCCTCTTTCATGTTTGTGAAAACTGACTAAGTAGTAAGTACCTTCTCTTGATAGTCGGGAAAGCCTCAATTTTATCAGTCTTTGATTTGCATAATATTGAAATTAAATAAAATTTGTGCATGTTGGAACCACATCCTCTTTTTGCACAGTCACCATAGTTACCATAGAATCATGCCAAGGAAGGGCACAGTTCCCATATCCCTGTGTTTCAGTGAGGACAGCATTGTGCAAAGTGATGCCAGCTTGCATATTTTGTTCATTTTATGAAAATATTTTTGCCTTTAAACAAGAATTTAAACTATGCATTCATTTTTTAAAAGTCAAACTTTAGAGTCATTCAGTGATTTTGGAAATTCTTATGCTATAATAAATAATTTAAAAATAGTATTCTTATATGACACTGTTATGATCTTTATATTCCTTCTCAGCACTTTGTTACAGCAGTTTTATAAGAAAATTGATTTTTTGTAGGAAAACAAAAATAAGAGTACAAGAGAGCCCTACACTTACTTAGGGAAAAAGCTAGAATGTAAGTATTCTCTAAAGAGAAACAAAAGCATATACTCACACAAAGACTTGTACATGAAGTATTACTTTATTTGTAACAGTCAAAACCTGGAATCACCCACATATCCACAGATAATGGATGAGTATGCAAATTGTGGTATAGCCATACAATGAAATACTACTCTGCAATGAAAAGGAACTGTGGATGTACACAACAGTATGGATGAATCTCAAAACAATTGTACCAAGTGAAAGAAGCCAGAAAGTGTATGTACCATAGGATAGTTCAGTTATATAACATTCTAGAAAATGCAAACTAGAAAGCAGATCAGTTGTTGACCAGAAAGGATGAGGGTAGCATCAGGAGGGAGGGATTATAAAGAGGCAGGATGTAGGCTTTTAGGGAAGGTGGATATGTTCATTATTGTAATCATGGTGATGGTTTAATGAGTAAATATATATGTCAAAACTTTTCACATTTTGCCCCCTAAGCATGTGCAGGTCAGTAAGCTATGTTTAAAATTGCTACTGTAAAGTAAGTCATTTAATTACAGGTGAGATTGAAGAGTTATGAGTGGCTGGACACAGTAGTTTATGCCTATAATCCCAGCACTTTGGGAGGCCGAGGTGAAAGGATTGCCTGAGCCCAGGGGTTCAAGAGCAGCCTGGGCAACTTGGTGCTACCCCGTCTCTACAATAAATCAAAAAATTAGCCAAGCATGATGGCACATACCTGTAGTTCCAGCTACTTAGAAGACTGATACAGGAGACTTGCCTGAGCTCAGCAGGCCAAGGCTTTGGTAGCTGTGAGCATAGGCAATAGGATGAGACTCTGACTGAAATGAAATGAAATGAAATGAAATGAAATGATGAAATGAAATGAAGAAATGAAATGAAATGATGAAATGAAATGATGAAATGAGATGAGATGAAATGGTGAGATGAAATGAAGAAATGAAATGAAATGAAATGATGAAATGAAATGATGAAATGAGATGATGAAATGAGATGAGATGAAATGGTGAGATGAAAAGATGAAATGAGATGAAATGAAATGTTCAAATGAAGTAAAATGATGAAATGAAATGAAATGATGAAATGAGATGAGATGAGATGAAATGACATGATGAAATAAAATGAATAAATGAGATGAGATGAGATGATGAGATGAGATGACATGAGATGAAATGAAATGAAATAATGAAATGAAATTAAATGGTGAAATTAAATTAAATTAAGAAATGAAATGAAATGAAGAAATGAAATGATGAAATGAGATGAGATGAAATGATGAAATGAGATGAGATGAGATGATGAGATGAGATGAAATGAAATGATGAAGTGAAATGAGATGTAATGAGATGAAATGATGAAATGAGATGAAATGAAATGATGAAATGAAGAAGTGAAATGAAATAAAATGATGAAATTAAATGAAATGAGATGAAATGATGAGATGAGATGAGATGAAATGATGAAATGAGATGAGATGAGGTGATGAGATGAGATGAAATGAAATGAAATGAGATGAAATGATGAATGAGATGAAATGAGATGAAATGATGAAATGAGATGAGATGAAATGACATGATGAAATAAAATGA